GTGTGTGTGTGTGTGTGTGTGTGTGTGTGTGTGAGAGAGAGAGAGAGAGAGAGAGAGAGAGAGAGAGAGAGAGAGAGAGAGAGAGAGAGAGTCTGCAAACGAAAGGAGTAACAAAATGAAGAGTTAAAGCAAAGTCATGTGCGAATGTTCGCTTTTTGCAATAGTTCTGTCAACTCACATAGCAAATCGGTTATGACGAAGGTTGCATCGATACATTGATGGGATCCAATCGACAGTAATGAGAATACAGTGCGTGAATGTCGATAGGGGTGAGATCTCCAGAGTGCAATATCTCTTGGCGATTGCGTGTTCAAGGCGGAAGTCGGGTCAGGTTATCATGAGCTCAGATCCAAAAGCGAAGTAGCCTGATCTGGAACGACAATGGTCATACGTCAGCAGAAGGAAAGAATGCCACTTGTCATCCGTCACTTTCAGACTGGAACTTCTCCTCAGCCTTGTCCTTCCGATCTTTTTCATATTCCTGCCCTCCTCCTCGGCCCCATCTTCTGAGAACCCCTGATGTTGAAGCACCTACTTGCAAAAGAGCGTGCTTCCAGTTGAAGTGGGGATGTTCAATGCTTTAAGCAAGGACAAACCTTTCTCATCTTCAGAGACTCAGAGTCAACACGATACTCGTTCGTCGTTGTCCTCTGTCCGATCTCATCTTCGTCAATAACCGAGTGTCCCGAAGTAACGGGGAACACAAATGTCACAGAGCGTAGAGAGGCATATCTCGTTGGCTTCTCTCTTTGCTCTGTATCTATTCTTAAATCTACGTCTCGGTGCGACAAGCAGAGTCGAAAACGAAACTTTCGGCATGGAATGGTAATGAACTGTGCTGCCATAACCAACTGCATTTCCTTTCAGTTTGCTGCACCAGTATAGTATCGAGGATCCACTAGTCTCCATCTATTATAGTCCAATCAAGTTCGGTAGATTCTTTTCCGTAAGGAGTCGGACTCTTCAATCTATAGCTCTTAAGCGAATTACCTCTGCAGTGAAATGCACAATTGGTCGATTACTATAAGGACCATGAGAATGACGACCATGCTGATCGACGACGATGTTTACATGGCTATAATTAGATTGATGATGGTGATGATGATGATGTTGATCATGATGAATGATGATAAGAATGATGATGATGATGATGATGATGATGATGACGATGATGATGATGATGGTGATGATGATGCGAGTATAACAAGTAATGATGGCAACAATGGTGATGGTGATGATGCCGGTGCGGTCATTCTTAATGATGTTCTTGATAATGAGGTGTCGAGGGGAATCAGGGGGATCGACTTTGTAGTGATGCAATGAGATTGTGTGTTGGTTTTGAACTTTTGTTTGACCTTTGTCGGTTGTTTTCACTTATCTCATTTGTTGAATGTTGTTTGTCGGTGCCACGTGTCGTTATCGCTCGTTGGCTGTTGTACTCTGGATGGCTGGCGATGAAGCAGTCCCGGTCGTCGTCTTCAATCGGAGACGCAATGAGCCTCGACTTCTCCGAGTCTGGCAGCATATGTCGTTCGGAATGGACAACGGGCGGCAAGATGCCAAATCACGAGCCCCATTCCAGAACCGGCAGTATGGAGAACATGATCGTCCTCGGCAGCCATATGAAGAAGGAATTCGCTGTTGGCGAATCTCCTGGTGCCAACGAGGTAATGACGAAAGAGAAAGACCAAACGATTCAAAATATGCCATATGGAGTTGGTTGTCGGGGCAATCTCCTGGTTGTTTGTTATTTTCTTGTAATTGCTTTTAGTAGATTTAGACAGCCATGGCACAGGTTCTGAAGAGAAGTTTCGTTTTGCCGGTCGTCGTAATGATGACACAACAGACCAAAGGCTTGTAAATATGGAGTTGGCTGTCGGGCAGAAGTTTTTCTTCTGGTTGTTTGTTTGTCCTTGTGATGGCAAAGGCTTGTAAATAAGTAGTAGATTTAGACAGCCATGGCATGATGGCACAGGTTCTGAAGAGCAGAAGTTTCGTTTTGCCCGTCGTGTTTCAATCCGTTTTTCTTCGAGCTATGATTCACGTTCTTTTCATTTCATATCTTGTATGAAATGTATGGAGGGCAATTTGTTTCTGGCCAATCTTATTGCTTTGCTTTGCTGCTAGGTAACATAAGTGCACTTGAAATGTATCCTCTTTTTGCCATTTCATATCTTGTATGGAGGGCAAGTTTTTTGGGGAGTGATTAACTTCACTTCTTTTGGCCATTTTGCACTTCCGAGGCGCCTACATCGATCTGCTCAACGCGAGGTCGATACCACCCCTTGGGTCTGGAATCCGTAATCCAAAACTCGCATGGTCGCCCATCACTTGTTCGGAAAGCGATGGGCAGTTTGTGTACCACGCTCGATCGACTACTTTCCTCTGCACAGGAAAGCGATGGGCAGTTTGTGTACCACGCTCGATCGAGACACTTTTCTCTACATACCGACGTAGGACCAGTCCGCAGACACCTGTCTATCCCATGGACCAATCTCCGATCTTGGTCCAGTTCTTCTTCTGGTGAGGTAATCACTTGAAGTTCGTTTCATAGCATAGTCCGTGTCGATACAACCTGTCCGACCTCAGCGGGTTCTGTTGCGGACCGACCATACTTGTGGCGATACATCGACCGTGGTCCATCGAATGGTCCAGCTTGTCGACGGATCATGGTCCGGGCCTGTCGCTGGATCATGGTCCAGGTCTGTCGAATGGTCCATCGAATGGTCCAGGCTTGTCGATGGGTCATGGTCCAGGCCTGTCGCTGGATCATGGTCCAGTTGATCAATCGAATGGTCCAGGCCTGTCGCTGGATCATGGTCCAGTTGATCAATCGAATGGTCCAGGCATGTCGCTGGATCATGTTCCAGGTCTGCCGAATGGTCCGTCGAATGGTCCAGGCCTGTTCAATGGTCCATCGAATGGTCCAGGCTTGTCGGTGGGTCATGGTCCAGGCCTGTCGATGGATCATGGTCCAGGCCTGTCGATGGATCATGGTCCAGTTGATGGACTGGTTTATCACAACGAGCGAGCGGGTGCCAGCACGCGGACCAGGCACACACTAGTGCATCGTGAAAAGCCCCTCCCCGGTGTGAATTCGGTCACATTCGCCGTTTGCGCACCCTTTGCCGGCGGTCGAATGTTACCTCCTTTTTAACGAGGAACCTTTCGGCAGCAGGAGGGGTTCCAAAAATGAAAACGATCGTGCCATGTGGGAATCCCAAGGGAATGGTCGAACACTCGACCTAGCAGGTGGTTGAAGCACCTGGCGTTTCTCGAGGTTCTGTGCGGTCGATGAGCTACCGTTGTCGTGACCTAAGAAGCGTAAATTTAGTATCTGGAACTTCATACGATCCTAAGAAGCGCAAATTTAGTTCAGCGCTTTCGACAGTACGAAAATCTCGTCCAAACGTTAGGTCCTGAAGGACCTGAACTACCTCGTCTCAGATCCTTCCCTTCAAACTTCAAAGGTCTGAATTTCTGAAAGAAGTACGGCCGCCCATCTGCTCCTCAGAATTTCATAGTCTATTAGTATATATACACAACACAAGGAGCAGCAGAGGTTCCTTGTCCGGGAGGGTAGGTGAAGGGTCTCAAAATCTCTCTCTCTCTCTCTCTCTCTCTCTCTCTCTCTCTCTCTCTCTCTCTCTCTCTCTCTCTCTCTCTCTCTCTCTCTCTC